TAAACAAAACAGCAACACTAATACCTACTGTTTTAAAATAATATAATTAAAACAAGTCAAACGTATATACAAATGCTTGTTACACAGTTAGTCACCACAGTTGAATCCAGAACTATAAATAATTCTCTTTTTCATCAAAAGTCCACAGATGTTGGTTCAGTTACTTTAGAACTCTATTGACAAGGTGATTTGTTCTTCTCTACTCTGTTAATACAATATCTGCAATTATTACACTTTAAAAGTCACCACTGTACATTCTTTATGGCTAAACTCATGTTCATCCAGGATATATCTATATCTATCTCTATCTTTTTTTTTGTTTGTTTTAAAAGAATATATTCAAAACAAGTCAAACGTATGTACAAAAGTTTGTTACACTATTGGTTATAACAGTTTTATCCAAAGCTTTAAGTAAATGTCTCCTTTTTGCCAGAGTCCACACAGGCAGGTTTAATCACTTCAGAAAAGCCCTCTAATAACACAAATTATTCTCCTCTATATCTGTTACTACAATACAAGTTGTGAAACTCACTTTAGAAATTGCCTTTTACAATCACACAGTCTATCTTCACTTTTACTAACTCAACTTGCTTGATCTCTGTATCTGCACAATTTCATAACACAAGACAGATATATCTAGCCCTCTAGTAACAACAATTTTACAAAAACCTTCTACAACGATTAAACTACGTACATAACATATAGCTTGTACAGAATTATGTAACGAAACTTGTTATAACTATCTTGTTATTCTTGTATATCACACAAATGTTTCACGATTTTTCCTAAACACCTCTTATTATCAGTTAAGCCATAACTGTTACAATTCAGGGTATTAATACTGAGTGTTTAGCAGCTTCTAATATCAAGTAAAGTATTTTGTGAAAATTTGTTTCATACTACCGTGATAACCCCATTTACGTGTCATTAAATAACATCTGCAGTAATGAAGTACTTTCGTCTGTAATTATAAAGTTCTTGAATATCTGCACCTCTGTTTAACAATATTATATTTTTTTAAAAGTTACAGTGCAAATAAACTAAATTCTAAGAAATACACTCCATTTCTCTTTGGTACTTCTTAGCTTATTTATCATCAAAGAGTAAATACACCATGATCTCAACTCCTTTTACTGCCTTATATATAGTGAATCGAAATTGCAAGTGTAACTGTTATAAAGAACAGCTTTTAATTTAATCAGTATTCAAGATAAGAAGTTAACAAACACTCCTTAACTGATACCTTCACTTTGTATCTTTAAGGATGTGGGGGGGTTAAGTCCTCAACACTCACCTAGCACGTCATTTGCGTCAGGACATTTCAGTATAAATCAAGTGTCCAGGTTAAAGTCCTCACAGCTCAGTTAGCACAGCAATGGCCTTAGAACATATCAGTGTAGGTCAAGTGTCCAGGTTAAAGTCCTCACAGCTCAGTTAGCACAGCAATGGCCTTAGAACATATGAGTGTAGGTCAAGTGTCCAGGTTAAAGTCCTCACAGCTCAGTTAGCACAGCAATGGCCTTAGAACATATGAGTGTAGGTCAAGGGTCTAGGTTAAAGTCCTCACAGCTCAGCTGGAAGAACACCGATGTCATGTCAGGGTAGGTCAAGGGGTTCCTGTTAACTTTCTTGCTATGGATAGGTCAAAGTGTGTATGTCATGACTTTTCAGAGAGTTAAATCAAAACTTAATTAAACTACTTTATTATCATTGTATACGAGTAAACTTGGCATCAAACCATAGTTATGAATCAAATTTTGATACAAGTTTTAAGTTCTTAATTGTATAAGAAAATAATTTAAAAACTGCATCCTCCCCTTGTGCAAGAATTGTAACATTTCTTCTCTTGATCTTCCCTCTTCTATATTTACCAACCCTCTTGGAAACATAAAATTAATTATAATTACTCATTATAATATAGATATTACTGAGGCAGAGCATAATTTTTATAGCCTTCAATCTGCTCTTTCCCAAATTGCCAATAGTTGTCTTTGACGTTTTATTCTACATTAGTTATAACCAATAGAAAGCCAAGGATTTAATCTGTCAAATGACATATTATATTACATTGTTTTCAGTACAGAGAATTGTCTATTTCATCTTCAGTTTTCTGTCACAGTCTTTAGATCGATTAACAAGCTTAAGGTAACATTTAAAGACTTCTATGCTAAAGTTAAAAAGCCAGAAAAATTATGATAATTATAAGACATTGTTTGCTTTGTGCATACTATTATTCTGTATTCTTAGGAGTATTATTTAAAGAAATAAAGATTTCTAGGTGTACTAATAACAAATAAAATTGTATTGAATAAAAAAACGTTTGAGAGTTATTTAGGAGGTTTAAAGATTATGCAAATGAAATTTCACAATTTTCAGGTGAAAAAAAGTATTTTTAATCTTAATATAAAAATCACCTTGCATACGAAGCAGTCAACACTCTGACTCTATATATTCATGGACAAATTTTTAGTAAACAATATTTAATAAAAAAAACGATTTTTTGGTGTACAAAAGACTTGTAGTGTTTACTGAAAGTTTATCAAATTTTGTGAAGATATACAAAACATACTAAAAGTTATAGTATGGAAACTGATGATTACTTTGGGGTCATGAACTGTGTTGAATCAACTGAGCCCATAGCAAGAGTGTTAAAGCCCTCACAGCTCCGTTAGCACAGCATTGGTCTCAGAACATATCAGTGTAAGTCAAGGATCCAGGTTAAAGTCCTCACAGATCAACTGGCAGAACAGTGACCTCAAAACATCTCTAAGTCAAGGGTCCAGGTCCTCACAGCTGAGCTAAAAGAGCATTCTCTAAACTCTCTGGTGTCAAATTTCAAAGGAATAAGACATTCATATTTCTTTTTTAATCCACATTTCTACGTTGGAATATAAATAAGTCATATTACTAAGTTTGTAAAAATGTATACGATGACCTAGAAGTATACAAGGCATTCCTACCTTCCTTCTAACTTGTGCTTCAGATAGTCAAATAATGCTTTCTGCATCATGTCTGTGACCTCATAGCCTTTGAGGGAAGGACCCACGAGAACGACTGGTCGCATCGAAGGCACTACATCGTACGGAGGAACATTCTCAGACTAGATGAATAAAAGGTTAATTGGTAAGTTTTGTGTACATTGGTTTTTGTCAAAATCAACTAAAACCCAGTTCTAATGTTAAATGCAACAGAATTTAGAACAAGCGTTTGGTGCAACGAAAATACAAAAACTACTACTTCACACTAGCAGATCCAACGTTAAAAGAAATTTAGATTGTAACCTAATAAAAGTGTATACATATATTTTTTCTTAAAATGAGGAAAACTTGTATAATTGTTGGTTTGCACAAGAAGATCAGTGGTCTTCATCACCTGACTAGGTGTACATATGTACCACCTGTCTATCTTCGTATATGGGTCTAAGCAAATGGATCTAAGCATTTCTTTGTAATTCAATTTCTTTTTTTCGACACAATAACTCTACAGTTAATGTCATAACAGTATTGTTCCAATTGGCAAATAGATGTCGACTAGTTCATCTTATAGACTAAGCTAGCTTCAGCTTTATAGCTTGATGTGAAGAAAAGATGTTCTCATATTTTTAGGTTGTTTTTCTCATAGCGAAACCTCTTTCATATAATTAGTTTAACGGCTGATCACTTTCTGGAGTTGTTTTGTTACAAACTGTTATCTAAATAGTATAATTTGGCATATGAGAAGAAACATATTTTATACATTATGCATGCATTTAATCTGTAAGTTTACAAAAACTATAGACACACTATATGAGAGCTTGCACATTATGGTAAAAACATAAAAATTTAATTAATATGATACGTGATTTTTAAACAAGTTAGAAAATTGGATTTTTCACTAAAAGTGGCAACAGCTAATTACCAATATTTCCACATGGTTATTAAAATAAAGAATCAGTATCACATTTCTTTTAATATAATGCAGTTGTATTGCACTGTAATACAAATATTTTTCTAAAGTTTACTAAAAGACTTTGTCCGATAAAATATTTCCGTTAAGTATCAAAATATATACCTTCTTAAAAAAGGGTTTCTTCTTTTCTTTTGCTGGTGGTGGTGTGATTGTAGGCTTAGCCATTTTGGTGTTGTTGACACTATCACTGTCTTCACCAATGTTTGCATCAAGTCCATTCTGATCAGCTTCAAAACCTGGAAATTTTAGCAGCCATTCTAAAAAACATTGTTATATTATGCAAAGTGTAATTTGTGTGTTTGATAGAAAAAAAAATAGATACAGTAGATTACTATTAAAAACATATTAACAAATAAAAAAAAAAACGGTTTTGTTTTTCTTAGGTGAATGTGATATTACGTCAAAGAAATAAATCAAAGAAAACGTTGCTTTTCATCAGACATTTAATGGTACGCAAAATTCACTTACCAAGTAAATCCAGTATTTAAACATTCAACTTCAATAAGGACACCAAAAACACATACAACACATGTCATACTTTTTACAAAATTAAAGAATAGGTAAAGAAACTGCCAAGTTTTTTTTTTTATTTTCAGAGGAAAATGTTTCGAGTTAGCCCTTTTTGTCAGATTGTACAGCTTACAACCTTAATATAAAAAAAATCTTGGCAATTGTTTAACCTATTCTTTATTTTCAATATCCATGTGGTTAACTACATATTTCTTTTTATACTAGATTTAAAAACCAAAGTAACAGAAACACATAACACCTCTCATAACAGATATATATGACATAATAATCACATTATTTAATATTAAGAATTATTTAGAAAATGTGTTAAAAATTTGCTGTTCAAGAACCTTAGGTTTGAGTCCATAATGACAGATACAACTTCAATGTGTAGCCTAAAAACTATGCAGTTAGGCCTAAAAAGTCTGGTATCGGAGTGTCATGATATAACAAGACTGTTTAGTTTAGATATTATTGATTAATTTATTTTTGTGAGTGAATATTCTGTTGTTTAGTTTTTGTTATAAAAAGAGTTAAAAGCAGAGAACTGGAGGAAGTTGTGTATATAATTTATTGATGTTGAGACTATCGAATCTCGCGTGCAATATATTGTAGTTGAGAATATAGAGATTTCTAGAAGGCGAAAAAACGATTAAGAGATAAACCTATAAGTAGTGTGAGATGAGTGGAAACAGCAGATAAACAATAGCACAAGAGAGTAAAATTACGAGCAAATTAAAGTTCGGTGTGAAGTTAACTATCATAGAAGTGATAGGCCTAACGATTAACATAGGCCTAGAATTTAATGTGTTACAGTAAGACTAACAGTAGAAAAGGAGATAAGAAAAATAATTTATTCCATCAAAGCGTGGTTCTAAAGTAATTGAATCAGCCCGAGTACAATTTGACAAAAGGAACAGAGGATATTTAGAAGAAAGAAGACCAAACAATTACTGTAACTTGTGCCACAATTATAAGTGAATCACACACAGAATACTAGTACGATAGTAACAGAGAAAATAGTTTGGCTAGTCAACTGAAATTCTAAAGCAATTGAATAGGCCTAAGTGGACTTTTGACAAGAAGAAGAGAACTATATATAGTGTTTATGATATGCCTATAATCTCTATAGTGTGAAGAATTTGTTGTATATATGTTTAACTTGTTCCAAATATATATATTATTTTGCAAACTAGTGAAGTGCATGCTGGTCATTTATCATTGAATTTATCATCAACAAGTCACAGACACCCACTGTAGAAGAATCCTAAGCCCAACAACAACACAGTATATATCTATACTATTAAGAAGTATAAGTAATAGCCTTTTTATTTTGACAGTTGGCAAAGATAGATTTTTATAGAGATTCTGATGCAAAATTGCCAGATGGAGTATTGGTTGGACATACTATGGTGCCACCCAACAAATGATGATGTTTTCCTAAATATGTGGAAAATTTCTCAAATAGTGCTCAAAAGTTGAAGTGTGGGAAAGAAAATGGACAGCATAAACCGATATAGATTGTCATCCCCTCCCCAAAATAACAGAAGTGTCAGTCAGCTCAGACAATAAAATTAATTGGATACCTCCCAAGGCAACTGCAGAACTGGTATGAGTAAAGCTGTATGTATTTGTCATCGATGGAGCAGCAAGAATTTAAACACTTACATAGAGCCAGTGCATATATATTTTCCAAAGGACCAAATGATCTTGGCAGTATCTACATTACAGAACATTGAATTGTTCATGAGTGACAAACACCATATTAAGCAACCACCAAGATGACTGATCAGAAAGAATGATGAATCCACTCAATTTTGTATTGATTACTGTGATCTTGATGGAATTATAGTGAAGGATTCATGCCCTATTCCAAGGACTGACAAAACTTTGGATGCTTTGGTAGGTGCCAAATGATTTTCTACCTCAAATGTGTACTCTCGTTGCCATCAAGTGAAGATGACAGATGAAGATAAGAAGAAAATGTCACTTTCCTGTGGAGAATAGCATCACTTCAAAGTGATGCCTTTTAGCCTTTGTAATGTTCCAGCAATATTTGAACAATTCATGTAACTTGTATTCAATGGTGGACTCAATAAACCACCCAGGTGTATCTTGAAGATATTGTCTTTGAAGAGACCTTCCAGATTGAAGTAAACAGACTACAGGAAGTCTTCCAACAGTTACATAAAATGCACCTCAAATTATATCGTAAGAAGAGCCAGTTATTTCAGAAGTCAAAATACTTTAAAACATATTGTTAGTGAAGAAAAATCCCAAAAAGACAACTTCTGTTGACAATTCTCCATGGCCTGACACTGTGAAAAAACTAAGAAGTTTTTTAGGTCTGTGTACTTACAACTGAAAGTTTATTCCAGGATTTTCAAACTTAGTCAAACCACAAATCATGGATAACTCTTCATTTGAGATAAAGCTTGTGAGGAAGCTTTCCAACAGCTTAAATAAGACCCTAACTTTATCACCTGTTTTAGTATTACCACATCTAGACCAACTTTCATACTGGGTACACATGCCAGTGATTATGAAATAAATGTGCTATCACAAAAACAACAACAAGGACAAGAGAGAGTGAAAGCACAATACAGCTGAATGTTGAGCAATCAAGAATGTAATTTCTGTGATATCCAAAAAGAATTACTGGCTGTGATGAGTGCTTTACAAATCCCTCTTTTTATTGGTAGGTCAAAGTATGCATGTCACAACCTTTAGAGACTTACATTAACCACATGACCCCAAAATGACCACTGTAGTTTCCATATGTTATAATTTTCCTATACTGAAAATATATTTCCGATAGGTATATATCTCCCCTCACGTTCGCATTCAGATGCAAAATTTTTTGTGCATGCCAGAAGCCTTGAAGCTCCAACCCATCTGGAATTGACTGATTTCAATGTATCTTGCATGTATATCATCATGTGACAACCCTCCAACAATAAAAGTGTGACATACTCTCTTGACACATGTACTGACATCCACGTGTGGGTAGGAAAGAGGATCATACCACTGGAAAGTCAACTACAATCCAAAACCCAGCCATCTGGTGGTGGTAGGAAATAGGATCATACCATCTTTACATCAAGTGCATGAGACTGGAGGGAATCTCGTACCCTCGACCCATGAATGGGGCACATAATAACAATGTGAGAAATTAATTGATCAATCCAGGAACCTGACATTTGGCATCGAAAAGATGTCTGTGTAATGTAAACCATCTCACTCAAAATGAAAATGACAGGAACCACCCCAAGCACAGTATCATTCTTGGAATAATAAGAACACTGAGGGATACCAGAAGGGGAAGAACCGTAGCAACCTGCAAGTACCTCCATGGATGGAGTAACAAGAGTATAAATGAGTGACATCTATAACACATGTGTGAGGACTTATGTTGATTGGTTCAGCTCTAAATCCAAAACCCAGCCACTAGAAACCAACATTCACGTGGAGGTAGGATGAGGGATCCCAATCAAAGGAGTGAACTGAAATTTTGATGGCTCACTCCAATGTTACATAGTGGAGGATATCTCATCATCTACACCAGCAGAACACCACCAACCTACTTTCAACTGAATGGTTGCCTCCACAGTCCACCAACCCAAACAGGCAGAGTTCATGGTAATGTAGAAGCCTTAGTTGATGACCTTGCCCAGAAGAGTGCAAGCATTGTGAGAAGAAAGAAAATATTAAGAAATGTCAACATGCTAATACTTTCTGAAATAGTGGTTCAGATACTGAATTATTATAGATATAGTGAAAGGATCCAGATATGACACCCATCATCATACATATGGAGTAGTTGCCAGAAAGACCATCAGAAGAAGATATCACACACAAGCTCCAAAACCAAATGATTCTGAGCTAAGTTGAACATGTTGCACAGATGTAACAAAAGAATAAGGGCAATCAGTCATTCTTAAAGTCAATGCAAGCAGCCATTTTGTGGGAGTCAGATGATGGCATCTCAGGTAGACATCTTGGAATGAAGAAGACACTTTGTTAACTTGGGAAAGGTTCTACTAGAGTGGCATGGAAAGAGATGTTGAGGAATGGTGTAGAGCATTTAAAGTATGTGCTGCAAAAATAAAGACATCTAAACCAAGGAAAGAACACTCAAACTGTACCAGGCTGGAGCACCAGTAGAGATTATGGCAATTGACATCATGAGACTATTGCCAGAAACTGATAGAAGAAACAAATATATAGTGGTAGCTATGAGTTTTTTTGCAAAGTAGCCAGAAGCTTATACAATTCTAACTCAAAAAGCAGTCACAGCAGCAAAAGTGTTGGTTGATTAGTGATTCACAAGATTTGGCTTACCAATGTAGTTTCACTCTGATCTGGGGAGAAATCTGTCATCAGTAGAATTTAAGGAATGCTGTGAATTACTGAACATAAAGAAAACCAGGACATCTTTCAACCTGATGGAATGGTAGAACATTCAAACAAACGTTAGGCAAACAACTTGCCAAGTTTAGTAACACAAATCATATCAATTTGGATTTGAAAGTACCAACACTACTTATGACTTACAGAACTTCTGTGCATGAGGCTACTGGCCATAAACCCATACTGATGGGATGAGAACTTCAGCTATCAGGGGATTTGATCATCAGGAAATCACTGGATGCAGACCTGCCAAGTAATAATACTGACTGGCAGAAGTACATCAGTATGTAGTAGAAAACTTCGGCTTAGTTGTAGAGGCAATGAAGAGGCTTCATGATTTCAATTCACATTCATATCACTTTGTTACTAGAGAACTTGTTTGATTTAATAATCCTTGTAGGAGGAAAGAGAAGTCTCCATAGCTTTTAGATGTTACGTACCAGATAAAGGTGTTCTACAGTCCTGGGACAGGGACATACATTTAGAACAGAAACAGTGGAAGTAGTGAAGAAGTTGACATTCCAAGTGAACCCGATGAAGACAGTGCTTGTTGGGCAACAACAACTGCCATCTCTTCAGCTCTACCCTGAGTTGAAGAGCAAGTGAGCAGGTCAGATGAAATGTATGCAGGGGGCAACGTTGTCGACAAGTAAAATAATGTTTTGTTTTACATGTATATGAATGATATTATTCATTGTTGAAATATCTGTATTAAAATTATCCGACTTGTAAGTGACATTGTAATCTGTATGCACCAGCATCATTTGGTGAAAGATGATGAAATTGGTTTTACAGTGTGAGTTTTCATTAAGAGTTAGATATACAGCACAATAAGTGAAGTTTCTGGGAGTCTTACAGTCTCTTCAGTGTGTAATTAGGTTTGAGTCTGCTATAAGAGAAAAAATGTGATTGTGTGCCTAAAAACTGAGTAGTTAGGCCCGAGTCTGATATCAGAGAAACAATTTTATTGTGGAGCCTAAAAACTGAGTAGTTAGGCCCGAGTCTGATATCAGAGAAACAATTTGATTGTGGAGCCTAAAAATTGTGTAGTTAGGCCCGAGTGTGATATAATTTGGAAAAGTGAAATATTTTGTACAAGTGGCTAATAAACTGATTCTCTTTAATTGCTGGCAAGTTTGACATCAGTGTTTGAGTGTTATGGCACAGACATTATCCAATATGACCTAAGGATAAAAACAAGGCCCAGTTATGGAAAAATGATGATTCTGAATTTTGATCTCGTTATAATGTTGTTTTTATTTCACATTAACTTCTTTATTGTTTTATAGTGTTGATCTTAATTGCCTATGGACAATTAGTGTATTTAATAGCGTTAGTAATAATAGGGTACATTGGTCTGTCTTCTTCGGGTATAAACAGTATTAAGCAATACAAGGCTTATACATAGTTACAAAGTTAAATGTTACAGAAATGGTGTCAGCAGTTGAGAGGATATAACATAATATTTAGGGACAACAAGGGACTTATTGGTCCATCTCGGCTGTTCCATCCTCTAAAACAAACAAAAACTATCAAATGAATAAATAAAAAAAAATGAAATAAAAATCTTAAAGTCAGCCCTTATCATTCATATATTTATCAAACTTTCTCTTAAACTCACTTAAAGTTGCTGCCTCCACAACGTCTGAAGGCAACCCATTCCAGAGGCCAACCACCCAGTTAGAAAAATAAAACTGTCTTAGCTGAAGATGACTCATACCTTGCCAAAATTTATATTTGTGGCCACTAGTCCTACTATTCTCACCATTAAGTATGAAGAAAGATGATGCATCAACACTGTCAATTACCTTTACAATCTTAAACACCCCAATCAGATCCCCTCTAACTCTTCTTTTTTCAAAAATAAACAATTTTAGAGATCTTAATCTTTCCTCACATGACAACCCCTCCATCCCAGGCATCATTCTAGTAGCCCTCATCTGAACCCTTTCCAACAATTCAATGTCTTTCCTAAGGTAAGGAGACCAAGACTGAACACAATACTTCAAATGTGGCCTAACCAGTGACCTATACAATGAAATTATAAAATTAAAAAAACTAATTAAAGGGTTGCCCTATCCTCACTGATAAAGAAATAATTTCCCTTATTCCCACAAATTATTATCCCACATTTTTACACCCTTCCAAAAATTCACAAAGACAACATTCCTTACAGACCTATAGTATCTAGCATAGACTCACCGTTACAAAATGTTATTAAATTCTTAGTTAAGAGATTAAACCCTCTACGTGAAACCAACCACTATTCTCTCAAAAGCTCTCTAGACTTGGTCAATGTAATCAAAAACTTTAAACTATGCTAAGAAGAAATAGTACTATCTTGTGACATAAAATCTCCATTTACCTCAATATCAGTCTAAGAGAAAAACGAGAAGAACACCTTATCAACCTCACAGAATACTGCACTTATAAACAACACTTATTTTATACATGAAGGCTGGTCTTATAAAGAAAATAATGGATTAGAAATAGGCTTAGTGATCTCTACACGTCCATTCTAGAAGAAGAACTGTTTGGAAACAAATTCATACGCACCAAGAAACTTGGTTAAGTTACATAAATGATACCTTCAGTAGATTGCAAGATGGGAAAGAGATGCTACTCAATTTCATTGAAACAGAATCCAACAGTTGTCTTCCCTGTTTAGATGTGAACGTAAAAAGATAAGATAACAAAGCTATCACCAGTATGTACAGAAAGCCCCATTCGGTCAGCATGCCACCACATATAAGATATAATCACGACCTATCACAGAAAATATCCTTCTACTTCACCTATGTAAATTGTGCTCTACAACTTCCACAAACAAGGCTTACTTATCGAATTGAACTACTTAAAGAACACAGCATTATCTAGAGGTTTCAACCCCAATATCATAGACAAAACCTTGTCGAAACGTTGTACATTTGCTGTTATGTTAAACTTATATTAAAGTTTTTCTTCATTACCCATTCAAGCCGTCTCCAGCCATTATTAGTCTCAAAGTGGGTTCCTCGTCATCGAATCATAGATAGGGCTTGCATCAAACTTCAAAACATTGAAAAATATTATGTTAACTCTAACCTTTCACCTATCAACAACATAAAACATAGCAAGTTTGTTTCATTCCTTTTTGTGCCAGAAATTGCTAACGAAATTACTAGACTTTTTTAATAATTTGAGCATTGACATAAAAACTGTATTCAAACCTTCACATAAAAATTAATGTCTTAATACCTAACCCAAAACAATCCCTACTAAAAGAACAAAAACAGGGCATATACAGCATTCCATGTGAATGTGGTAAAAAAAATTATAGGGCAAACATCCCGTTTCTTAGAAATAAGACACAAAGAACACTAAGGTCATGTGTGTAGAGGTGATTTCCAATGATCCACCTTAACATGTCATCAGTATGAAACAAATCACAAAATATGTTGGGATTAAATTCTTCTCCTTCACCAACCCGAAACTAATGAAAGAAAGAGACTACTTTGAAACTATAGAAATAGCCAGAGTAAACGATCTCTCACTAAGCCGTGATAATGGCACCAGTAACATCAACCATATTTGGCAAGGTCTGTTCGCCATTTATACACTTGACCAGACTTGACCTCTACCTATATCCTGTCACCTGCTGACACCATTTCCGTCACATTTAATTCCATTGTCTTTGTAACTATATATATAAACCTTGGATTGTTTAGAACTGATCATATCTGAAGAAGACAGACCAATGTTCTGTCGAAACACCTAGTATGTTCCACCATCAATAAACTTTTCCTTATGCTTATAAATCACTGCTTGTCCACCTGTTATTATATTAATATACTGTTTAACAGCATTATGTATATTTATTTATACATATCAGGATTCCTGACACATATCTCAACCGAAAGGCTTTTTACAATATGATAATACTTCTGAAAAGAAACTTCCAAACCAAGTACATGCATCAACTTGAGCTTTCTTTCATTCAGTATTTACACAAACTCACGGCAAGTTAACCTACTGCTGAACATATATCATTTAAATACAATTCAGCTGACTGTTTCTCAATTTGTACTAACCACAAGACATAAAAGTTAAGTATATGATCATAGCAATACATATATACAGTATATAAACCACACTGGATAAAAATTTATACAAAATAGTTGTACTCTGTCATTTTTTTCTACCTGGTGTAGGAGGTGTTGAGCCTCGAGAATTTGTAGGTTTTGTATTTGAGAGGACATCATTGACTAGGCCACCCAGGTTTGCTGAAGAGCTAAGTTTACTGAAATAAAAAACGGTACAGTTACATCTAAGCTAGCTGAAAAAATATAATATGCCCTTAAAATCAACAATAAACCATTGAGGTATGTAACAATTTATCAACACTAGTGGATTTCGGTTTTGTGAGAAAAACTTATAGTGACAGTTTTAAATAACATGCAAACTTAAAATGGTACAAATTATATTACTTCTGATAGACATTCTGATTCTGATACTAATAACACTAATGTTTTAGAGTTTCTGGAAGAAAATTTACCAAATGTTAAACACTCTGTATTTCTGGAGAGAGATTATTTACTTAAAACTGACATAAATTTGTGGCTGATTAAGAAGACAAAATGCAGGGTCCGTGTGAAACAAACGGTATAATGTAGTCTGATTTTCCAGGAATGGCAATTAACTTTAAACTATTGCAACATCAGTGGCTGACATTAGCAGTGAACACATGTAGATCTCAAACCTTCCAAGCAAAATAGTGGCTGATTAAGAAGACAAAATGCAGGGTCCGTGTGAAACAAACGGGCTTGGAAGGTTTGAGATCTACATGTGTTCACTGCTAATGTCAGCCACTGATGTTGCAATAGTTTAAAGTTAATTGCCATTTCTGGAAAATCAGACTACATTATAATGCAATACATAACTGTTTTATGTCTAAAAGCAATCATTTCCACAATATTAATGGCATTTCTTAGTTTCCTTACATAGCCAAACAAGAAGAATATTTATAACAAGTAATAGGGTAAACATATGAATATTGTATTAATTAATTAATCGACCAATTCATGAAAGAAATTCATTAAAAGTTATTTTCATAAAACCACAATTAATTCGATAAATACCTGTTAAGACTACACCTAGTTAGTTTCAGAGAATGATGGGTAACATATTTATTTGTTTTCTTATGCTACGAAGGAAAATTAATTATAATACAATATATCATACAAGAATATATGATATTAAATTTTTTCCTTCCCTGAAAATATAATTCAGACAGATACTCACCTCCTTGCAAAACAAAGAGCTATTACCTCCCTTCCTGCACTTGTCACAAGCCTTGAACAAAGCTCCCTCCCCTACACGTATCAATGGGTACTATGCCATTCTGTAATGTAATCATCATTAGACTATAGCCCTCCACCAACAGAAGGGTGACACATCCTCCATGTGCAGTAAACCCCATGAGTACTAGAATTTGAATGAAAGCTCATTCTGGACGAGGCAAAGGAAACAAAACAGAAGTGAGGAAAAGACTGTGCAGAGGTGAGTACTTATCCGAATACATTTTCAGGTAAGGAAAACGTTAACTTCTGAAAGGTTCTCTCTGCACAACAAAGAGCTAAAATCCCACAGTGATGGCAAAGGAAACACAACAGAAGTGAGGAAAAGATTGTGCAGAGAGGTGAGTACTTATCCGAATACATTTTCAGGTAAGGAAAACGTTAACTTCTGAAAGGTTCTCTCTGCACAACAAAGAGCTAGAATCCCACAGTGATGGCAAAGGAAACACAACAGAAGTGAGGAAAAGATTGTGCAGAGAGGTGAGTACTTATCCGAATACATTTTCAGGTAAGGAAAACGTTAACTTCTGAAAGGTTCTCTCTGCACAACAAAGAGCTAGAATCCCACAGTGGTGACGGTGATAGGGCCAGTGCAGAGAAGTAAATTGCAAAGATGAACTCCTTTCTGTAAACATCATCAGAAACGGAAAGCCCAAAGGCAGGGAGTAGCCTAGTGGGGCAGCTCTTAAGTGGAAAACTACATTCATCTCAACAATTATCACTTCATGCAATGTTATTATGGTATTTATTTGTCCAAAAAGTGGATAGAGCAAATAAAATGTTACAAGAATCCTTTGTACAATGTTAAAGTGTCACTAAGGTGGCAAAAAAGTAAAACTGTTCAACTGGCCATTATCATTAAAGCAAACAGCTGAGCATAAGCGTGTAATATGGCTAGGGCTATAAGTCAAGCTGTTATGTATATATTAGAGAAATACTTACATGAGATATTCACTATAGTAATCAGGTGCAAGAATAAACATCTAAGACCTGTATCCCGAGGCAAACCAAAGTCTCATCGAGATGGATCGGACAACCAGAAATGGCTTTGTTCATAATTTAGTGGGGTGTCATGTACTACACTACCAGATAACACCCAAGCCCTACAACTCTAATGACGGGTGTGTTTGTATCACTGGAGTTGTACTGCTGAATGAGGAACTCTCCATATTGACTTCTGCAGTGACTTGGGACTGGATAAGCAAGGGTTTCCCCTATACTCAGCTAGAGGTGCTTGGACCATGTCATTAAGCACAATTATCTGAAATTAGGTCCCGTGCTGCAAGACACTGCAACGGGTTATTGTGACTAAAGACAGCAGATGCCAGTCAGGTGTGAGGGCAGTTGTTTTTTTACAAGTGTAGAATGGCCTGAAAAGTAAAATAAATAAGACACCACTGAAGCACTTTTGCAGAAAACTCCATCTTATCAGAAGGCATTGAGAAGGAATGGATGGGTTTAGCACTTTCCATATCCCTCCACTCAATGCAGATTTTGGAAAGTATTCCTTGACATGCAACACTGGATTCCAATGTCTCTAATACAGTTATATAAACATTTTGAATATGATGGTTGTGAGACCTGAAAAAACAACCTTTAGAAAAACACTGTGAAGATTGGAAAATGGAGGGAGTTGAAAGCCAGGGTAGGTGAAACCTCCCTGTGGGGTTGCCTAGGTATCACTAATGTGTCAAGGGTTGTCCACATCCTCATCAGACAGAAGGAAGCAGAATCTCATGGTATGAAATGATTTTGCCAAAAGTCCTAAAAAGGAGCAGAATGAGTGAGGCTATGATGGGAGAAGACCAGGATTGGAAAGATCACACAAGAAAGAAAGAGAAATGAAAGTGAAAGGAGAAAACAGCAAATCCTCCTTCCAAGCCACCTAAATATAGTGGAGGAAATAGTGGTCAGGGAAGATGAACTGGTCCTTGTGATAAAGAGTTCAAGAGGTGGTCAAGAAAAAAGTGAGGGGGGGGATGACTTCTGCAAGCAAGAAGTGGAGTTGGAAAGGCAGAAACAACAGAAAAGGTTTCTGAATGGATCATGATAAGAAGGCTATACAGATGAAACAGAAGATAATGACAAGCTACCATCTCAAGTATGGAAAGACAGACGAGCCCGCTTCTCCAGATAACAGATACCAGAAACGAATCAGGCATAAAGAACAGCCCCCCCCCCCCATACATATACAAATGCCACCTGTGGTCCCCATGGATATGGAACATCATACCAGGGAGCAAAAGGAGCCACATACATACTAGCAATACCTGAAGAATAAATCCGAACAGAAGCAAACTGGGAAAAGAAGAGTGTCCAGTGTTATTTGGGATTGAGTAAGATACTACAACAACAAGAGGGGGAAGAAAACAATGGAATTCTGGATACCTCCAACATCAATAGGCTGAAATCACTGAAGGAGACACATATAGGTACCTTTAAAGGAACATACAACACAAGAGAAAAGAGAGGACCCAAAAGAGACAAATACCATCATGGATGAAATGGAGACATGAAAGCCTGGGGATCCACAGTTCTAAGTCTCAAATGCATAATAAACTAGGCTTAGCCTGCCATGCATAAGAAGTGACAAAGTCCTTTAAGTGAATCAGATACAGAGAGGAGGTTGAAACTGAATCAGGGAACTGAACCAGTCATCCAAATGTGATAACTCATGAAGGAGAAAAGGGGTTATAACATGTTGGAAGGGACAAGCAGAGGCAAAATGTTCAGAGTAGTGGAACAATAGGCTTCAAGTAACCACTGAGCTACAGCCTGCTGGCCTTAAAGAAAAACGATAGGGTAAGAACCAGTTCATAGGGAAGGGCTGAAAATGGAACAATTGATCACAATGCGTGAAGCAAAAGGCATGAGAAGAAAACAGGAAGTGGAGAAATTTCATCAAGGAGAATAACCACCACATAATGAAAAAACCATTCATCAGAAAACAAGGGAAGACCAAAGATTGGTCAAGAAGGACAGACTGATGACTGGCTGCTAAACACCTATTTTCATGGGAAAAATAAAAGGACAGGAGTAAAACCATAGAGTGGATTAGAGGAATTGTCCCATAGCATTCAAAACTGGTGAGGTGGAGAGTAAGACCACCGAGAATGTACCTGAAAAATTTGAAAAGAGACTCCAAAAGTGTACAAAGTGGAAAGGCAGAACTCCCATAGGACCAGAGATGAAGGTTGGCAACCAAAAAAACTGCTCCCAACACCCACAGCAGCTATCTCTTAGAGAATGGACAATGGATGATAAGAAGATAAGGAACAGGAGGGGAGGTGACCTTCATAAGGCCATCTTTGATGAGAAACCTGGTGGAACCACCTTTTCCTAACAGCAAGAAGCCAAAGTAAGCAGAGATGACTGTGGATGAGCTACTTCAGCTCAAGATGCCAAAATGGAAGAAACATCACGAAAAAATGAGTGCAATACATAGGGCCTAGAGAAGAGACTGAGGGAGACAAATGTCAGAAAGTAATACAACCTCATGAAGTACAGCTCAGAAACAAAGAAACCAATTTACCTAGAACTAAATGGAAGAAAATCAAGGACACAGTGACATATATGTACGTGCAGGTTCCACCATTAAAGCTGATAGAATCATAATGTAAAGCCCCTAAAAGAAGGGGAGCCATGAAGAAAAAGAAGGAAATGAGGATATCCCTAAATTGAAATAAGATATGAAATGATGGAGGCTCATGCAACAAGGGATCTTTAGATTCAACAAAAAATAACTGGAGAAAAAAAACAAAAGACATACCTGTGGAATCCAAGCAGAGAAGAACAAAGATGGGACTATCTGATCCTTGAAGGGAAGAGGGAACTAGAAACAAAAGCAATCATGACATTAAAGGAAAACATGAGACTTTCTGATTCATCTAGGTTGTACTATCCACTAATTTAAACTGACCCTTAGAAGAAAAAAAAACACCTC